ATTATATTTTTATTTGAAAATAAATCTATTACTCAACAATTATTTATAGTGACAAAATATAAATCTTCAAAAACCTTTTGCCCAATAATAATAATAATAATAATAATAATAAGTTATATTTAGAGCTTGATTGTTTATGAAATAATTTGTTTAAATTTAGTTATTTTGGTTAATTACAGTTAATTTTGAAAAAGATAATATGGTTAGTTATAGTGGAAATTTAAGAATATATTAAAATAATATTTAAAATAAAATAATTAAAATTGAGTTGATGTAAAAGTAAGAGATAAATGATTAGAAATGATTGAAAATGATAAGTAGTTAAAATTATGTGAGTGGATGAATAGTGAATTAAAGCTGATGTGATGTGTAGGAATGATTGGTTTGTATTATTTAATTATATGAATAATATTAAAGATAATGGGGTTGAGTTAAAGTTGAGTTAAAATTTGAATTAAAATAAAAGTGAGTCACCCGTCCTCATCCAAATAAGATTGCGCTGTTCTGTAATTTAGTGATAGTGAAGATAATAGTATAATTTTGGTGTCCCTGTCAGCCACATCAGTTTGAGGTGTACGTTTGTCATTGCAATCCATTTGCACACTATTGTTGACCCTCATAATAAATTGGAGGGAATTACTTGGCCAACAACAACAACCATTTTTTTTTTGATTCATACAATTAAATAAAATAAAAACCTTTAGCAATATTATAATAGGGTTAATTGCAAAAAATCTAGTAGTACACGTGAACACGTGTATTATATGGGTGCTTGCTAAATTTTTTTTTTTTAAAATTTAATATTAATGAGAAAAAGTTGTTGTAAATTTAAATAATTTTTATAAGAGAAATATATTATTATATATTTTAGTATGGTATTTGTTACTTGTGTGACTTGATTGTGTTTTATTATAATATTTTTTTTCTAACTTATATACATAAATACATTAAACATAAATATATTATGTCAAAATAATTTTATTTTTCTAATTAGTTTTAATAAATAATTATATTATTATTATAATGATAAATATAATTTATTTATTTTATATATAGAATATGGATGTCAAATCGAAGCTTATCAAAAGATGATTAATTTGACATATTTTATATATGTAAAATCAATAAGAAATACAAAAGTTATCAATTTTTAAAATACATTTATAATTCAATGGTTTTAATAGGAAATGATATTGAAATACAATTAATACATCTAAAATGATCATAAATAAATCAACATATTTATGGTAATCCGAACCTAATTATTTTTGAATTAGAATTAAATTAAAATCTATCTAAATCTAATTATGAAGCATAATTATTTGCCAAGTAGGATATCGAAACACCAGAAGCAGCCACGTAGGCAGGGGAGGAGCTATATATAGACCAGTGTGGGCCTAGACCCACACTGAAAGAATAAAATTTTTTATGAATTAGGTATAGCTAGAGCCCAAAAAATAGCTTAATATTCTATTAAAAAATAAAAATTAATGACAATACTTGCATAAACACAAACAAAAAATAAAAAATAAAATGAAAAGAGAGAAATAATGGTGATAAGAAATTCTTGTTCTTACCAATTTTTGAAACTAATTTTAACCTTTTTTTATTATTAAACTTGTAAGAAAAATTACACACTTATTGTACTTTTTAGCATTCTTCTAGTTATTAATTGATTGTTTGCTTCTTATTTATTATAAAACATATCATCTACTACACTTTGTGTATGGTTAATAACTTAAATTGTAGGCTCTTAAATGTTTTATATATGAGTACATCATTTTATACATTATGGTAAATATTATAATTTATTCAATTTTTACATTAATTATGGAGAAATAATTTTGAAATATGTCTTGAAAAGAAAAGTTCACATTAAAATATTTTAAAATGAAATACTTTAATTCCAAATATATTTGAGGCGAATTCTAATATTGTTAGAATTTGACTAAAAAAAAAAAAGTGCCATAAAAAAAATTCAACGATGTTATTATAAGATGATGTTGAGTTATATATGAAAACTCATAACTATATTATAAATGTGTGTTTTTGTATTTATACTTTTATTACAGTATGATTTTTTTTCAATAACAATTAAGGCCCCCACTCATTCTATTTGCTAGATTCGCCCCTGCACGTAGGCTCAGTGCATTCGGGAATTATATATAGGGGGAATTGTAAATAAAACTCAATTTTTTCATTTGGCAAAAAATACCAAACCTTTAATAAGTATTGCAATTGTGTCTCACCCGTCGGACCGCTGCCAACCGCCGCCGCCAACCACCACCCGTCGCCGGCCAAATTCGCCGGATGATGAAAATTCTTACATGATCTTGTAGCTCTCTTCCATGCCGACAACGTACCCGAGTTTCACGAAAAATTCCGACGATAAGGCTTCCAATTTTCCGGTCAAAATCGTAAATCCTCAAATTTTCTACGGCGTTCTTTCGCAAATTCTCGGTGACTCGCTTTGACCCATGTGAATCTGAATGTACCGTTGAACTTCTTTGGCAAAGCCACATCTAGTGACGACCACTTTCGCCGGAACCGGTGACTTTTTTCGGTGACAACTTTTCCGGTCATCTTATTCAAAGTTTGGTATGGCCGGAAACTGATTTTGAGACACAATTGCAATACTTATTAAAAGTTTGGTATTTTTTTGCCAAATTGAAAAGGTTGAATTTTATTTGCAATTACACAAAAGGTTAAGATTTTAAATGCAATTAAC